CACATACACACACACACACTGTCTCTCCCCTCTATCTCCTCGCAGTTCCCTCTGAGTTAAGCTGAACTTGGATCAAGGACAGTCCTCTAACATTCCACTCTGAGTTTTCTCTAGTGTTAGGCCGGCTCTCGAACAATCAGCTCCTTCTTTATGTGAAGTCAAATCTGCTACCACTTATTCAGATGACAGACTTAGACGGCCATTTAAAGTGATGGAGTAAACAGTGCCTAAGCCAAACCCTTTTTTCCATCTGCTTTTTACTTGTCTTTGTTAATAATGATGTGTGACAGCGGATTTACCTGGACATGTAAACACAGTGAGATGCAAAGACTTGTACAAGCTTTCTCACTCGCACACAAATACAGATACATTGCATTCAATTATTTTGCTTACACATTTGTAAGAGTTGTAAATGTGATATTTTAGATGTGTAGGGTTCAAGTCTGAACTGGAATGTTCCCATCCCATGCTCATGTGCTTAAATAGAAGGAGACTGACATAACCAGCTTGAAACTTGAAACTGAAAGAACGAAAGAAGAACATCCATTTCCCACCAGTATACAAATACAACTGAGAAGAAACTATAATCACATTTATAATAAAATAGGCTGTTGATTAATCCGCTTACAGTAATTACACATGATTACAGAGTTACTCTAAAACACAATTGGTGGATGTGATTATTATACTGACACACTGAGAGGTGCTTCAGAGCGCACAATGCTGTTTAAAAGGTTTCTCCTCTGTCATTATGTGCACCAGTCACAGACAGTTGCAACCACTGCTCAGACTGAAGAAGGGAAAAGGGGATTTCCGCATTTCCTCTCTCTCCTCTCTCCTTTCCAAGTTTTTTCGCCATCTGCAGCTAGTGAGGGCTCCTTAGCCATCAGCTAAGGAGCTGAGAGGAGAAGGAGGAGGGTGTTTCTCCATCAGCAACTGAGCCAGGGAGACACACGGCCCTACTGTGATCCCACTTCAAATGGAAAACACAGAGAAAAAGGACTCCCCAAAGACAGACACTTTCATCGGCTGTCTGAGGAGTGCTGAGAGATGCCTGAGAAGATTTGGTGAAGTGAAATCAAAATAAACGTTGTGATCTCCTCTTTATTGTATGAAAACACTGTTTTGCACCAGGGAGAACAATATGTGGTTGTGTTTGTGTGTGCAGTAGCAATCTACTTTTGATTATAAGTCTCCTAACAGTGGGGTTTAGTCAGTAAAATCAAGATAAATGCACACAGGGGTTCATAAAAAACATTGCTCAGGAAGCTCAAAAACACAAATTAAATTTGATATCATAATTTGATCTATTGCCAATACTAAGCATGCATTTCATGTCCGAAATTAAACTTGTGGTAGGTTGTCTCATATTTCCAGAGAAATAGGCCTATGGAGGTTTACTTATTGAGTAATGGGACTAAGCCTGGAACAGAAACAAAGAGAATTATTGGAGAGGGCTGGAGTTAAAGGGGACAAGAATAAGGAGAGAGTCTGTTCTCCTTATGTCGACAAGGCCTGAGCGAGACTGTGGAGCCCCTGGGGGTGGGGTCAGGAGCTGGAACTGGGGTGTTATGCCATTATCAGTATACGGCCTTGTGTGTTCCTGTATCCTCTTGTGTGTGTTGGGGGGAGCATGATGTCACAGAGCAAAATGAAAGCCACATGGAGTGTCAGAGCAGGATGTGAGAGAGCGAAAGAGACCAGCGCATGTTTCTCTGTAATAAAAAACTGAGTGTTAGTCTGTAACCTGATTGATGTTATAAATCAGGAGAATACCTTGACAACTGACAGTTCATGTTGTTATTGGCCCACACCAATATATACCTTCTAATTTAAACAATGCTGGTATTCACGAGCAGTGTGTGCATGTGTGTCAACTTTTAATATGCTTTCCAAATAAAGGAGGGTACTGTATTAGTCTAACATTTAATCAAAAGTCTGTCCCTTTCTGTTCCAAACTATACA